AAAATTAGCACAACTTTATTTTCGAAAATGTTGATCTTTTTTGAGGGATAATGAGTAAAGAAATGACTCACACCTATATCGGTAGCCATACTCCATATCCTAAAGTTAGAATCTACAATTATTTTTAAATACTTCCAATTCATCGAAGACGCCAGCAATGTTTGAAAAAACCTTCATACAAGCAGTTAAAGGTTAATGTCTTCACCAAACTGTGATAACTTTGGAGCTTTTTTCACTAATACCGATCCGTAAAAAACATAAACCAACCTCATTTCTGGCATATATTATTATCATCGTTAAAGGAGTGTTGAATAAGAAAATAAAAACGAAACATCAAACGATTTAGCAAACTCGAGTGATTCATCTTAGATTCAGTGTGAATAGAACAATATGAATTTGCACAATTGATGCAAATTGTTTTTTTGTAAAATTCTTGTTGACACTTATTTAATGTTCGTATTGACCATGAAGCTTGCTAAGACAGTGTAGACGTATATTCCAGTTGGAAAGAAATTATATCGCATAGTCGAATTTTCCAATAGTACAGCTAAGTTTGGCAAAATGACAATATTTATTAATTAAGGATGATTCTTTAGGTTGGATATGAGTATGTTGACTTACTTTTAGGGAATAATTAGACTTCTGTACAAAACAAAATTATTCGAGCCGGCATTGATTTTTGAATGATGCTAGTCATCATAGAACAAATAATCGGTTAGTTGTTGTACGAATATCATCCTTAGCATCTGCTCTCGTTTTTTTTGGTATTGCTATTCTCTTTTATTATCCTTTCTATATGTGAATAGTGACTCATACATAAATAGTTCAAAATATTTTTCGTCTTTGATCGAAACATCATGGAATGCATTCTCTAGTTCTTCATTTTGAGAGTGCCTGTGATACTAAAACCAATAGTTCTAGGTGTGCCTGTTGTAGTCAATGGCATTCACAAGTCGTGTGAAGGTCAAGTTTGGTTCTATGGCTCGTGCTCAGGTACGGTCAGCACTAAACGTGATTGTAAAACGTCAACGCTCAATTTGGCCCATACTAATATTTCAAAAACATGTACTTCGATCGATTTCTTTTGGTCATATCCTGTCAACAATTTAACGATGATTATCGAAACGCCATTCACAGCAAAACAACAAAAATATATGATTCGTCTTGACATTCATCGTATGATCAGTGCCATTTCACATATTTATAGACTGATTGACGGAAAGGTAGTCGACGTGACAACGACAAAAAACAAGCTCATTCAATACTCAGATTCAAACTATCAAGTCGTGCTCAAGTTTCAAGGTCCACCCACGTTAACCTACTACGGTGTTTCAATTGACTATGAAGTTATCAAATCATAAACAGAATAATATCTAAACTTTGTTTTTTTTATTTCTACAACCATAAATAAAATCTTCACTATTGAACTTGAAAACAATTGCGTTTGAATAAAGACTTCAATAAGAAGAATATGCAAAGGAACATCTTTTCATGAATATTTCTTTATCAACATTAAATACCACATCTGTCTTTCTTACTCACAAACGCGCTATTTATTTTTGAACATGCATGTCATTGAAGCATTTGCGAAGAAAGGCAGTTTGTCAAGATTTAAAGCAACACATTGTGCTATTTAAACGTCAAATCTTATTAACCAGCAAAATCGTGAACATTATCGGTGTTGTTGCTTGAAGCAACCGACTAAAGACGATTCGCAGAGAGATCCTTCATAGGACTTTCAGTGTCTGCTAGTAATTTTTCTTTCTCATAAATAAGGCGGGTATGGGTGTGAGCATGTGCGTATCGAAGTTGGTCTTTTGAACTATAGCTCAACTTCACACTCACCTAATCCTTTTTTTCTGGAATTTCTGATTAAGAGAACTTATAACAATAAAATTCTCTTTGAACTTAGCATCTCAAAGAGACAAAATTAATTTAAAATAAACCGTAAAAATGGTTCAAAAATAAGTGCGTTCCAAATCCTAAAAAGTGCACATTTTAACGCAATATGTACGTGTTAACATTTTGAAACGAGGTTTTATTATGTCAGATAGTTTAACGCATTTACAACGCATTAAAATAGAATGTCTAGCTCTCGAACTGTTGAAAAACTTCTGTTAGGTACAACTGAGTTGGAGGATAGAAGCAGAAGTTTCATTACTGCCCTTTGTAAATTCTTTCAGCTCAGAACCCAAAACTATACTTTAGAAAACAAGCAGACAACTTCTAGACAATTCTGTTGCACTCAACATTTTGAAAGTAGAACGAATAAGGGTGAGAAAAGATGCGAATTCAAGTTCCAGTGCCAGTCCCGATAAATTGTTAAAAAGTTTGCCTCTGTCACAGTCGTAAAAAGTTTCGATCTTGGTCGCATAAGTCGGTTCCGGTAGGAGAAAAGGGTGTGGGTGTGAGTCAAAAGAAGAACCACACCCACAACTTCTTTTTTTCATATTCGAATCTACAATCTTCACGTAACAGAAATATATATTGACATTTGAAACATCATATGATAACAATATTAAACGTACATTTATCACGAGTAGAATCTAACAAGAAGAAAAAGAATTTATGAACGTCTTATATATATGAGAAAAGCCGGTCAAGGCCTCGAGAATAGAAACCAAAACACAATGAACAGAAGCATAGCACAAGAATATGAAAGTAGTACTGTGAGTGCGGCATTAAACCATACAATATGACTATTTTGAGTTACTGTTTTACATTTTTCGAGTGGTCTAATATTTTTATATTTCTTTTGATAAATTGAAATCCATATTGCTGGTGTACTTTTATCAGACGCTTTCAGAGAATACGAAGTTGTGAAATCTCGACAGATAATATGTGGATTGATGGCCAATCTAGAATCTAATTCTAAATATGAATCAATATTCCTCATTCGAAACTAAAAGAAACATAACGAAACAATATAATTCATGTGACAAATGAAAATCTGTATGTCTTAAAATAATATTTACATTGCCATAAGTATTCTTGTTTAAAATGTTCTCTTGATTTCGAAATTTATCTGAATTTTTATTCTTGTATTCGAGCGCTAGTCGATAGAGTTTACCGAGAATAGATTGAGATTCATATGAATTATTCTTCATCAAAAAATCTGGATATAATTTGCCCACTAGTTTACGAATTTGATTAATGCGTTTTCTATCAGCGACATAACCCGTTTTAGAAGAATCGACTATAAAGAACCGATATTTTAACATAAGCTATTTCAAACTTCATCTATACTCACTAGCAGCTGAAAACATGTTTGCAAGTTCGACAGCCAATTTTTGACATGTAATTTGTTTACAATTTTCGAGATTTTTGTCAACGACAGTAGCATGTAAATTATAGATTTCACCGCAAGTTATAGCATTGAATAATGAATAACAATGCCGTAAAATATCCGTATGAGTTATTGGCGACGATTTTGGAGGACATTGTGAAACAAACGGTGTATAATCAAGTGGGTCAACTTTTCGAGATAGTTTCAAATCCTGACCCCAATAAACCTGTAAAATAAAACAAAGCCAAATTACTAAACATTAAAATATTCAACAAAATAACGTACGAAATAATGATCGCCGTCAAGATCAGATCCGGAAATTTTATTTGGATCAGGTCCTATAATCATATTTAAATTGGATTCAAGACAATTAGAATATGACGACTTACTGTCATCTTTAGTGGAAAAGACGATAACATCGGTTAGACAATAAAGTTCATGATTATCGACAGCTTCTAGTTCAAGCATATCTCCAGCATGAAGACTATAATATTGATCAAAAGTTTCTTTTTTATAAATTCTAGAAAGAAAAGGGAATATATATATAACTAACCAAGGGTTCTTCGTCACAATAACACGTCCAACAACAGTTTCAAATCGAGGATTTTTAAGTGGTTGCCCGTCATCATCAACAACTTGATATCGGATAAAGCATTTTCCTGGTTCAAGACTAGATTCGATTGCACAGCCAAACATATAGCGACATTCATTTACCGGCATTGGTATCTTATTTTTCAAAAGATCTCTGCGTAAAAAAACAACGTTAGTACGTATTATTACAAAAGAAAGCCAATATCTTTACTGAGAATTATCCGGTGACTTTTTTTCGTCTCGAAACCATTTATATTGTAGATCAAGAAACTTTTTATCAGGTACACCATGATCGGACATAATCATAATAACTTGGTTATTAAGCCGAGTTGGAACTACAATGAAAAGCCAATATTTTTTTTCCTAAACATCATACTTTCATGATAAGATGAAAAATAATTATACGATTAGTCACAAAGATTTCAATGAGTTAATGATCATACAAAATTTTCGAAAGAGAAAAAAAAACTTGAAGGTCAAGTCAAATTTTTATATTCTTAATTCATTGTCGGACTCGATCAATTTAACTATCATTTGAGACGACTTTCAAAAAGCATTCATCTAGAAATTCATGCTCAAATCCTAACATTTCATACAATAGTTTCATAGTAGAAAAAACGTACGACTAGTATAATTGTAAAATGATTTCACGTTTTTGAAGTTAGAAAAAGTTCATTTTCTAATAATGACTCACATATTTTTGGTTTTGTTCTTCTCTAATGTATACATTTATACAATTTCTTATCTCTATTTTCATATTCGAATTTCAAAAAAGAAAGCCACAAACTATCATACTTGGTTGACTAGCTTCACAAATCTCCAAAGTCCAGTCATTCGATTTGAATTTTTTCATTGATGGACGAATTTTGATATAGAATTGATCCAATGTGGACTGTGGCTCAACAACGACAAGACCTTTACAACCGGCCATTCGAATTTGATAAGCAGATGGATAAATATCCTGCATTGATTAAAGAAAATTTTCAAAAAAGACTAAAAAAACTGAACCATTTGAAAATGAAATGGATACATACAAGTTCGATATTTTCAATGGGATAATCAAGATTTTTGGCAACAAGTTTTGCTAAACCTTTTGATATAAAGCCATTTCCATCTGTAAAACAATAACCATTACGTTCAATATCACCAATCATTTTAACACAGTAATCACCATTTTGAATTCGTTGATCGAAATCTTCGGTATAATTGAGCGTAATCTAGCATAATAATGTATTCTATAGTTATGCTGAGAGTTAATTTTAAATTTAAAAAAAATTCTTACTCTACTTGAAATAGTCTTACTAAACCAAAGACCGAAACGCGCTAAATATTTTCCCACATTAGTAATTTCACTAAAATCACCTAATTGTGCTCGTTTATCATCGACTTCTTTATATGAATTCGCTTTTATAAACCAATAACTGTGTTCTCGAAGTTGTGAATTAGATGCACCAAATAAATGGTAGCGTATATTACATAAAAGAATACCCGATTTCAATACCATTTCATAATATGGATTCGAATTAACATATCCACCTTCTTTATCTGATTTAAAGTATACCAAACAGAAGTCATTGACATCATTAAAAGCAGAATGACGTAGTCCACGATGACCTTGAATTCGTTCAATTGGCATAATTTTTGTACAGGTCGGAGTAACATGAACAACGCTAACATCATAGTGAAGTTGATCGTTTTCCTAATTGAAATAAATATAAAATAATTTCGTATTAGTTGAACAAAAAAACAAAATTCTTTACTAATGTTTCTTCATCGGGCTTTGATAAATCTAGTGTGCTATGTTCGAATTCATTTTCATTAAAAATAGTCATTAAATCAACTGATTCATCTTTTTGAAGAGTTTGATATGCAATAAGAGCCAATTTGTAGAAATTCTTATCATCTCGTTTGGCTAAACTAATCATCATTGTTTGCAGAGATGTATTCGTTGAATATTTATTATCAAATACGAAACCAAGCGAATGTAACATTTCGAGTGCATATCGATTTTTGAATGTTTGATATGGCTCAAGAAATGAATTTGACCATGATTGATTCTTATGTATATGATTCTCCATTGTAGGTATTGAATTGTTTAACGATGATTAGTTGAAATATGATTAACCGGTAAAGCTAGCATCGATCTGTACTCAACTCGCTTTAAATATTTATTAGAAAATAGAAAGGAAATTTTCCTCGTGATACTTTTCCATTCTGGAATATACAAGAGAAAAATAACGAGTCAGATTCTTTTTCAATGTGGGCAACATCAGTGTTTAAACAGCGGCTTTTTCTTCCGTTCGTGTTGTTACTTTTTGAGTAGCTGCCTTATTCAAGTTCGAATAGAAATGAAAGAAAACGACTGATGCTTCAACACTATAAAAAGAAAAAGAAAAATTTTCAACTGTTTCAAAATTCCAATACGAACAGCTGTCGAATCAAATAAAAAAACAGAGCAATAAAGATTAAAATTAACGTAATTAACAAATCTCTAGATTTCAAATTCTCTCAACTAATACTAACGTTGGTCGCGTCACTTTCACTTAGTGGATCCCTGATATAAAATCAATGTTTCTTCTATCTTTGGGTGGTTGTAGGTTTAAATGTACCTATCACTGTGATGACACACATCTAGGCCAAGGTCCACATCCATACCCAAATAGCAGCAATATATATTGGTGATATAACGGAATGAAAAATATGTAATTCTTTCCATGAGTTTCGAACCACATGCATTGTGCTATGGCGACAGACATCTCAGGCCAGTTAGATAAGAAAATCTAAATGTACCTTTTTCATCGTGAAGTAAGCCATAGATTCAATTTGAAATGTGGCATCTATAATCAATAGCGCAAATCATAAAATTGAAATGAATCAACACCGAATTTCTGTCTGTCAAATATATTTTCTAAAATTGCGCCGAACCGAAAATTCAACATCAAACAAGTGTACAGAGCGTTTATAGATTTGTTTGAAACATAAAAGGTAGACATCGCATGAGGCTTATATCAACACAATCAGTAAAAAGATAATTCCTTTTTACATATAATTCGGCATAATTCCGAACAGGTCACCAAAGTGATAGTCATATCCAGAAATTGGTTCTATTTTTTCACTCGAAACAGTTGATTATATGTGGTATTATAGATTTCATGCAACAATACTGTCAGATTCAGTGTCTGAGCATTACTACTTGCTTTATCAGTATCGGTATCCAGCCAGCCACATGATGAAAAATCAATCGAACAGTTGCTGAAGCACGATCGATCATTCAGAACCATGTGCGCATATGAATCATTGTAACGACAAGAGTAAAGAGCGTTGCGAAGAACACGAAAGTAAATGTCATATCGATCCTTTTTTTCTTTCCATATGATGACAATTATAATATCTGTGCACATATTGTCCGGTGTGAAAAAAAATAATATGATCAATGGTGAGTTTTTTTTAATTCTTTCTTCTATTCGGTAATCGTTAATGTTAATCGAGTCAATTTTACCTTTTTAACACAAAAAACAACAGGAATTCTGCTTCACAGAACGTTGCATTGCACGAAAAATATTAGAAAAAGTGAAATCCGAACTCCCAGATTTGAACTGGGGACCTATAGGTTACTACGATTTATATACCATTACAGCCTACCGCTCTACCGACTGAGCTAAGTTCGGATGGTAAATGACGATCAAAACAGAGGTGGATTTCGTGTGTGTTATAGTTTAACTGACAAAAAGCATTTCAATTCGATTGTTCAAGTTCCTAATTATCATTTTAAGTTTTCGAAAAATTGATTGATAAAAAAATATTACGATCAAATATGAACCATGCGAAGTAAAGAATCACCATTGAGCGTGTAGAAATATTCTTATTTATTTTTCTTCTCATTAAGATCTTAGTATCTGAATAGAATGACCATGCTACGATCAAAAAGGATTATATTTTAGCACATGTTTAATTGCAATGGATAGTCTTTATAAAAATAACTTATTTATAATGCGACGTGGCAATACCAGTCGAGGATCAGTTCAATTTTTAAGCAAGTTGATTCTATCTATCTAAAAAGAAATTCTAGAGTTGATATTAAATTCATAATTGATTCTAAATAAGGTGTCGATAATGCAAAATTCAAGTGAGATTTTATTTTGTTCATTTACGAGTGGCTTGATAGCACTTAAAAAGATCTTTACAATCATATAGTTTTTAGTTCAAAGTCACTACTGTTTCACTGAAAAACCTTAGAAAATTCAAGTGACTAGAAGCAGGAGTATTTTGACGAAGAATTCACTTTTTCTAGGATATTTCTCAAAAATACATTGGAATTGTTCTGTAAGGTTTTCGAAAAACATGAAATTTCGATTCCAGATTAATACCTGCGTAGGAAAATATTATTTGAAAACACATAAAGTTGATAGAAGGTGGATTCAAGTCAGTGTTACAACTGAACGAGCAGTTTTTCACGCTTCTCTTGCTTTACTCAGATCAAGAGGAAAAGAAAAATGATGACATACAAGCCCACTTACGGTGTTACAACTTTGATCTACATTCCACCTCAAGTTTAAAGATTGTGTGTGCAGTATGTGAGTGTAGAGGAAATGTTACTCACATCCTACACCCCAACTAACAAATTCTTGAAGTTAACGCCAAGACTTGCGTTAAAGTATAATTTAATAAAACTTCGAGAACCAAACTTCCTGAAATTTTGTTGAAATCTGAAAATTCGTGATAATGGAATCGATTTTTATCGTATTTTTCAATGTCATTGTCTGTTTAAAGACAACTAACTAGTCACAGATTGTTTATCATTACATTTGTGTTACGCATGAATATTATCTAAGATATTTGTTGAGGTTTGTTTGATTTTTAACGAGTCTTATCGTGGTATTCATCGTGAACTACTACAGATTTCTCGCTTACGCTATATACCGTTTGAATATGGGCGTATAGCCCATTTGTAGTTCTGTGCTACTCAATAATACAATTAATTTTTCATTTGGTTCTCAGAATTGCAGTGACTTTTATAAAAATAATGATTTAGCGTTTTTCTTTCGAATATGTTTTAGCTGCGAAAAGATTTAGCCATTAAAGTAGACGAAATAGTGAGACAAAAACTCCGAAGCAATAAGTCTGGGATCCCGAAAGATGCGCACGGCGAAACTTGCGCACGGAGACTCTGAGAGCTCTGGCTGAGGCTGTGAAGTGCGGATGCTGGTGTGGATGTAAGTGAGGGTGAGGGCGAAGGTGATGGTGAAGACAGTGAACTTGAAACGGTTCGTTCTGCTTCGAAATCCTCATTTTCCGTTCCGTGCGCAACTTTCGTCGTGCGCGTCATTCGTGAACTCCTTTGGCAACGGACATTTAAGAGAGGGTCCACGACAGCATCGAGGATACGAGGCACTCGATAAAATTTTTTTTTTCGATTTTTTTTGCTCATTCGAAACTTCAATGTCTAAAACTACTAACCCTAAAATNCAGATTGTTTATCATTACATTTGTGTTACGCATGAATATTATCTAAGATATTTGTTGAGGTTTGTTTGATTTTTAACGAGTCTTATCGTGTTATTCATCGTGAACTACTACAGATTTCTCGCTTACGCTATATATCGTTTGAATATGGGCGTATAGCCCATTTGTAGTTCTGTGCTACTCAATAATACAATTAATTTTTCATTTGGTTCTCAGAATTGCACTGACTTTTATAAAAATAATGATTTAGCGTTTTTCTTTCGAATATGTTTTAGCTGTGGAAAGATTTAGCCATTAAAGTAGACGAAATAGTGAGACAAAAACTCCGAAGCAATAAGTCTGGGATCCCGAAAGATGCGCACGGCGAAACTTGCGCACGGAGATTCTGAGAGCTCTGGCTGAGGCTGTGAAGTGCGGATACTGGTGTGGATGTAAGTGAGGGTGATGGTGAAGACAGTGAACTTGAAACAGCTCATTCTGCTTCGAAATCCTCATTTTTCGTTCCGTGCGTAACTTTCGTCGTGCGCATCATTCGTGAACCCCTTTGGCAACGGACATTTAATGTTCGACAAATTAACTTGTGGTCCTATTAAGCATGTCCTCTCGCTAATCTGTATTTGAAACTCGCACTTGACAAAAGCATCAACTCCAAGTTGAAGCTGGCCATCTCTGATCTCAGTTGAGCAGACAACGATGGACGAACTCATTCTCATTAGTGAGTATCAGAGATGAGCACAGGACAGAACCAGATTTTGATTTTTGTCTTGTGCTGCACCTGCCAGGGCAGAAAAGTTAGCAGAACAGAACAGGATAGAAAAAAAAGTACTTCTCCTATGCTCATCTCTGGTGAATATTCATCTTAGGTTTGTCGCTGTTATTTGCTTTTTTTCAGAATCGTGTGACTTTTCTTCCAACTTTCTTCTTCTTTCTCTCTTTTCTTCATTGAAATATATCTATTACTTGCTTTTTGACGTTACATCATATTTAATCATCATAAAAGCTATCGGTTGGTAAACAGAGATAACAAACATTTGGCAGATACTTTTCGGTTGTCTTTCAGCAATAAATCCAATCATCGAAGAGGTTATTCAAATAACAAAGTCTCTTCAGTTGAAGGCAAAAACAATGATAAAAAGACAAAAAGGATATCATTGGAAAGATATTACTAAAGGTAAAAAAGATAAACGTATAGTGTTAGCACCTGTCGTCCGGTGAGCTATAGTATCTTAGTATCCGGATTACTAAAACACTATCGAGGTAAAGAGAGTGATGGTGAGTTTATCATAAAAGATAGGTTCCTAGCTACCGTGACATTAACGTTTCGTCCATGCTAAAGGAAACGTCAGGTTGCTCGAGATCAGAAGATCTCTTTAGATAGGACTCTAGTAAGTTGCAAGTTGACGGCATATTGATGTATCTATAATAATACAGCTAATGATAGCCAGAACACTGCTTTCGTTTGTCTTCTATGTATAAGATCAACTCTTCACACTCTTATTTCTTCCCGTCTAGGTAGAACAAGACGACTTACCTAAATGTAACGTACACGTCCGTAACGTCGACGTATATTTGCTGTACACTACAATATGTTCGACGTATCATCATCGTGTACATGGTGCCGAATATAATGCCGTACGTTTTCGTGTCGTATACGTCAAGTATACGTCGGATGTCAGTGCAGATGTGGATATTAGTGTGGGTGGATGTTCGTGTGGGTTGTGCGTGGGTGTGTGTGTAAAGGAAATCATTACTCATGCCCACACCCACCCATCCACACCCACATCCTTGTTTCCGTTATAAAAATATCTCGCGTGTGTTTTGAGCATTTTAAAACGACAAAAGTTATTATTAACATATATTGCTTATAGTTGAATGATTTCCATTTATTGTCTGATTTATTTTTATCGAATTCTAATTCGTTCTTATTGGAATTAAAACAACATTGACATCAAAACACGAAAACGGAAGAAATTCGAAATTGTTTTTTATTTCTTCCTACCAAGTAATAGTTTTTGTTTTTGCCAAAAGCAGTCATGGGCTACAGCAGTTCGATTATTTGAAAAATATTGAATAGGCAATTATGGATTGACTTTGACTCAGAGAACAATATTTAAACATGAATTTCCTTGGTTGTTAAATAGCTGTAATGTAATGAGCATACATATCATAGTCATTAGAAATTTTAAGCGGCTCATAATTTATTACCTTTCGATTTTCATTTCTTTATATGCGTCGGCAATTTTGTTTTGTTCTTATCTTTCATCGCAGATACATATATTTTGCGGATAACTCAAAAGAAATTGAAAAAGAAAAGATAGTCGAGTTTTTAGGAAGAAAATCCAAGATAGACAGAGTATTGTTAACGTATATTGTCAGAGATTTTAAATTAATTCATTGAAGAGAATGTAAGATAAATAAATAAATCGTCGCGAATACAAGCGTTGCGAAATGTTGTTACATCGAAAATATCTAGGTTTTGAATTACGAGTCGGATATTTCATTAGATTCATTTAACATCGTTTTACTAGAACGAATAATACAATATGTACGAAGCGTTAAATTGTTAAAGCATTATCCTTATTTTGAAATATAAGAATGGTATGAAAATGTGATTAGCTCATCAACAAATTCAATTTCTAAAAGTAAGAGTACGAGTGACTAGGATTTGCAGTCTCCATTCCGTTTCCAGTAACATCCATAAACTGCAGTCATCATTGTTTTTTTTCACGAAAACATGCGGTATTCGCACTACTCTATTTTATTGTTTTTTAGCTTTCATTTCTAACAACGTGCAGTACTATTTTGCAGTCGCTAGGAAAAGATGTTGACTAAAATCAAATACATTTTTATGCAGGCCGTTTGCTTCACTGAAAACATAGTAACTGAATATTTATGCTTAGTCATTTCTAACAGCACTTTCATTTGACTGTATATACAAAAAAGAAACGATGAAATTTTTAAGTATCATGTGCTTCTATGCGGAATGAGCAAAAAAATCCATCCAGCGAGTTTGTGAGTCTTGTCGTTCTGTCGACGACTGCATTTAGCCACTTTATAGTTACTTGTTTTTTGGGTGATTCGAATTCAGTGAGAGTGAATAGTATGCGCAAGTATTTTACATAACATGAAGTTTTTTGTTAGATAATTATGAAAAGTTTTTCATAATTATCTGACTTCAGAAAACACTTCAAAGCAGTATCTCAACTATCAATGCTAACAAATGAATAATTTAGAGATAAATCTGTCTGTATTGGAAATGCAAATAGAAATGAATTTTGTGTAACTCGATGAGGTTCCTATAAAAGTAGAAATCCGCCTATGAAGACTAGAGAAGAAGTGGTGGCTACAGAGTTATACTGTTTCGATGAGTTCCCAAAGACAGCAATCGAATGCATAAAACGATAAACGAAAAAGTATACATACATCATTGTATTAGAATTATGCTAAGAAAATTGATAATGCTATGTGTTTATGTCGCCCAGAACGCTGACAACTCAGCTGTAAATAGATTAGCGCTAGATTTAAGTTTTGGATAATTGTTGACTCATGCACTCATACGCTGCAGAGAATTGAATATTTCAGAGAATGTATCCAGCTGAAAATTGAGGCATATTCATCTACGTTATAATTCTAATTTTTTTTCACTCTCATCGTTATTTACATCCAGTCAAGGAAAAAACAGTAAGCTAGCGGCAGAAATTAAGGACAATCAGTATGGATGAGCAGCGATGATGAACACAGCTTGAACATCATATATAGCATATTCTTGAACAGGAGTGTCGCAATAAGTTATGATGCTTGCCATCAATGATTTATATAATAGTCTTTTTAAGAGTAATATCAGACTATTCTAGACTTAGAATTATTGAATATAGGTTTTTTTTCTTATTTTATAATCTATAAAACCTGTTTTTCTAGTCGTTTTTATCCTGATCTTTGCGATTGCATCATCAGGATATAGTCAAAATGATCATGATTTAATTCAAGCTGCGCTAACAGCCATTAGTGGCATGCAATTGGTTCCGAACAACAGACCTTCAGAGACGTCTGATTCGCTTTCTCTATTTAATCATCACACCACGACATATTCATCTGGTGGTGTTGGTGACACTTACTCAGGGCGCAGTATGGAACAGACTAACATGATAGAAATATACATTAAACAAACAACTGATGAGAACATCACTTGCCAAATAGAGCCAGATAAAACTATTGATGACCTTAAAAAAATGATCCAAAAAAAGAAAGGTATATCGGCTGACCAACAACGAATCAATTTTGCTGGAAAACAATTAGAAGATGGATCAACACTAACTCATTATGGAATACATAATGGAGCTACATTACACCTAGTTCCTCGTAAGCGTGTTGAAGCTCCACCTACGTTAGATCTTTCAAGTCTCGATCCACAATATGATTATGATTTTACAAATGTGAAAGATTGCAATCATAAATTCCGATGAGGTGGACTCGATTATGTTCGCCCTTGCGGCTGGAAACGCTTTGCCATTAAAGTAACAGATAAATATGAAAATTTAATATGGCTAGGTCATCATAATAAAGAAGGAGAATGGCCTGTGTCTTATCATGGAACTGGTTTTAATGAAAAAAAAACGATGGCGGCAGATGGCTACAATTTGACGAAATGAAAAAGATATGCCTTTGGACATGGTGTTTATTCAACTCCTGACGTAAACGTAGCAGAAAAATATGCAGTCAAATTTTCACATGAAGGAAATCAATATTTGGTTGTACTGAAAAATCGAGTGAATCCTGAACAATTAGTAAAATTACCAGCTGCTGAAACTGGCATCGGTGTTTACTGGATTAGTCCTAGTGACAAAGATATTCGTCCATATGGAATCCTTATTCGAAAAGTTTAAATACGGCGCAAATAATAAATAATAAACATGAATTTCAAACATTAATAACATTTCTTTTTAATATTCTCCTGTGTTCATGCTTTTTTCTTGCTAGATGAAACTAAATTATAAAATTACCAGCAGAGAGCTGTGAGCCGATGACTATTTTCTGTGAGAAAAAAAAGACGTGAAGTATGTAGGGTGATTACCATTTTAGTCGTTAGAAAAAGGACAAACTTTCTCACATCCTATTTTCTATTGATTGCATTCATCTATTTGCTTATTAAATTGAAAGTTTCTTATTGTACTCAAGAGATGACTACTGTACATGACATATTATCTTAATATTTAGTATTTCTACCTTCATTTGAGTGGCCTCTCAGCAGCACTCATTTTTTGATCGTTCACAGGAGTTTTAGACCGATTTTCAGTTTCAAAGGAGGAAACATAGCATACAGCAATACACGCGCAAAATGATTATATCTAATAAATGTACAATTGATTCTTGACTTCTGTGCTAGCCTAGAACCATTTACTTGGATTTCAATCCTAATAAGACACGATGTCGACAAGAGATGAAGTATACAGTGATATGACTTGAATTTTTATTTTAACCAATAAGAGCTCTATGAATTACAAACTATTAAAAGAATGTCTTGGAGTAAGATGATGCTCACAACTCAGTTCCATTTAAGATTTGGGTGTGGATATTGGCGCGGATAAGAAAGGAATAATCCACTTATCCTCACCCACACCGACATCTTTCGAAAACCTACTCGAGCTCTCATCAGTCTGCTAGATCCGATCAAGGTTTCCAAAGCATAAAGTAACTTTTACACTGAATTCCAAGGATTCCCAGAGATCCTCAACTGGGATCAAGTGAAACTGTGAATCGTACAAGAATCTCCTCGACATCCTTTACAATTAGTGGATCCAATAAAAGATTCGAAAGATTGCAAGACAAAGCAATTTTTCGCTCGTGGCTATGAGTGTTGGTGTAGTGTTCTTCCGGCGACAATACGCCTACACTAACATTCACACTCGGCTAAGAAATCTTGCTTGCTAAATGAATTATTTTCGGCTCTTATTTGGTGAATATCTCTGTTAAACGTCATAATATAGGGCTGAAAATTTTATCATAGCCTCTTCAATATAGCTCCAACATATATTAAAAATTTCAGCCAAACTTGACTGTACCTGGACTGAGATCGATTTTTGAGGGGACAGGACTTAGGTTAACGATCCGTTAAATTTAAATAACGAGTCCATAGTCGAACTATTTCAGCATCCGATTGATTTAAATAAATATACGTATAACATGAGGGTGGATGTGGGTAAAATTCTTCTTTAACTCACGCGCATATCATTCATCTACACTCACCTCTGGTTATTTTACAAAAAGTTAATAATTCATGTATTGCCTATATTAAGAGTGTCCCAAGCAGGAAGGCCGAGAGAATGATCCTGCTCGGCGAATTATTGAAAAATTTTCGTTTGCACTCATTCGAATTCTATTTAGAAAGAACTTCAAACTCATGAGATGCCGTTCATACTATATCAATGATCTTTCAATCGAAACCCTAATTGTGAAGACTTGCAAGCACTCCTGCTTCGGTTTTCAGAGTGAATAAAATACCAACTAAATGTTAGTATGTCAGAGTTATTATGAGATGACTCACAGGTAAACTGTTAGCGGAAAAAAATAATGCTATGAGTACACAAATGATTTGCTTATGAAAGGATTAAAGAGAAAAGCCTGATATTAGCTCCGATTGCTTTCTTTTACGATTAATTTTGCTCTAGGAATTTGTATATGAAACAAATAATGAGTCATCGACATATCTGCTTTTATACTATGCGAATCAAATGCTGTCTATATGCACGAATATAAATATCTTCCTTATTTGTCAATAAAAGTTTTGTCAAGTGTTGATTTTAGTTTTCTTCCTCTATATGAATATGTATTAGTTGCATATGTTATTATTCATATTTAATGACTAAAGATCGATTGCCTGCTTTGCACGCTCTAAGATATCAACAGGATAAATATAAAAAACTAGAAAATATTCGTGTCCTGTTTACAAAAATAAAGTGTCGGGCTCGAAATGTGGAAGACAGCAATCCAGATGGTGCATATGTTACTCTTAATATTGACGATACTAATCGACTTATGTCCGATTTTTTTTCTCGTATTGATTCATTACGTACAAATATTAATAAAATAAGTGAACTTGTTGATGAAGTTAAATGTCTTGATCCAACAATGTCAATTGCAGCCCAAGCTAATAATCGAGCCAAAGAAGAACTTGAAGAAAAAATGACTCATATCAGAAAAATAGCCAATGATGTTCGACTAAAATTGCGAGGTAAGTTAAGAAAAAACATAAAATAAAAGATGAATGTTTTCATCAGAAAGTAAATAAAACTATTTAGGAATGTAAAATGAATTAGAACACGATGAAAGTGATAATGCATTGATTACAATGCATAGATGTATACGAAAAACTCAGATGTTATTTCTTTTTGTTTAATATTTGATTTAAATATTATTTGAGCCTATTCATTTGTTTTCAATGTTGTTTTATCTGTAAAAGTTTGACTTTTTTTTTCTAGATATGGAACAAGAGCAATCACAAACATCATCAAACAAAACTCCAGCGCAGTTACGAATTGAAAAATTACAGGTAGTATAGTTAATTACAATAATAGAACGCGAAACCATTACCACAACTGATCGAATATCGATCGAGAACGATATGAAACTCATATTCGATGGCAACTGGAAATTAGTGAGGAGGAATCATAAATATTGCACCCGTGGACAAAAGCCGTTCTTTCCATTGGATTACATCCATGGTAAGAGCTAGAGGTCTGAAAATTTGTGGACACGTACTCCGTAAGTAATGTAGCTCAGTGACGCCGTTCACATCCCGATTGATTTATTACAAACGAAGCAATGATGGACGATAATTTTGTTTTTGCCGTGAGCTTCAGAAATTAGAGAGACTCCTTGTTTATGTTTACCTTACTTCTTATTAGATATTTTACTAATTCGGAATATTTCTATGCGAGATTAAAACCGAGTCTTTGATCTTTCTTCACTCAAAAGATAATTTCAGCTGCTTGAATATTGGTGTCTTCAGACTCTGAACAGTAATACAAGGATCATGGGTATATCAGATCTCTCTAATACAGCATTCGATTCAAAAACTTGCAGACAATAATGCTCAGTTATGAGGGGAGCTTCTCTGAAAGTTTCATATAGATTCATTGAATTATTACTGAGCTATGAGTCTTTGAAAAGTAACATGTGGTTTTTGAAAACTGATGATTACAGTGAGATGACTAACGTTTTTGCACGGGTTGACGAACTTTAATAAAAGTTATATGAAAGATAGCTACAAATTAGCGCTACATATTGATGGATCTCTCTACTCACAGTATCCGTCGGTTTCAAAGCTATGAAGTCTAAAGCAAAACTAGATCGCGTCCATCATAATTTCATTTCTAACAAACTAATCTGGGTGCAATCCGAGGGGAAGGAAAGACTTTCATGCAGAAGTGTATGCCGTGTGAAATATCTTTGTTTTCTATGAATATTTTTCTGTCTATTTGTATCGATATTACTTGTGCAATATTTTTTTACAAGCATTAATCGAAATTGTCATTGATATTTATCTAGACAAAAGAAATTATTTAGAAAACAATAAAAGGAAAATTAAGAAAATAATTTGAAAAGAATGATTGTTAAAAATATTCAACAAAAGAAAGGATTCATTTCGATTTAATTTTATTATTATTATGTGGTTCATACATGTCTAATACTCTTTTTATTTGTTCTTTTTGCATTTATGTTGTAGTTATTTGTTTTATCACAAAAATTTCATGATGTCATGAATGATTATAATCAAGTGTGGTTGGATTATCAACAAAAATATAAAGAGCTATTACAGCGAGAGCTTGAAATCAGTGAGATTATTTTGCTGTTGCTATTATAAAAAATAGATTTTTATTTTATTAATTTTCTCTAATGAAAAAAAAAATAAAACACTCTTTTAATTATTATTGCTTTTAGCTGAACGATCTATGACTAAACAAGAAGTTGAAGAAATGCTTGAATCTGAAAATTCAGTTGTATTTACGGAAGACGTAAGTTAATCTTTTATTTCGAACTATTTTTCTTGAAAGCTGTTTCTATAGATGGTGATTGAAACAGCAGAAGATAAACAATCTCTTGCTGATATTGAAGCACGTCATAGTGATATTATGAAATTAGAAAAAGATGTTAGAGAATTACATGATATATTTATTGATATGGCGGAGCTCGTTGGGACACAAGTAAAAATATCAATATACCCTTTTCTTGTTTCATAAAATAAACTTAATTTTTTTTGTTTTATTATAAAGGATGAAATGTTTAATCAAATTGAATATAATGTTGTACAAACCGAAGATTTTATGGGAGGAGCGAATGATCGTATTGTAGGCACTGTTTTAATCACACATGCAAGTCGATGGGTAAGTTTTAATAACAATAAAAAATAAATGAATGTTGTGTCAATGGATGTTAGCTATCATGAAATACGCTTAGTATTATGCATGTTTGCTTGTGTTTGCTTTCTACTAATTGCTCAACAAAAGTTTCTTTTTCATGTTTAGAAGAAAATTCTACTGATCGTGTGCATGGTTATAACGTTGGTTATTATCGCACTCGTAATTATTATCCGTTTCGTCATAAAAAGTAAAACTTAATCACATGCCCAACCTGCAATTACAGCAGCACCTATTGGATCAGGACAGATATATTGTATATATACATGTATGTATGTGCACACACTGTATACTGTCCGGAACGACTATAAGTAAACAAGAGTACACATATTATTTTCTACTATGTACAATTCCTCTTTTTTTTCTTCTAAAGAAAGGGTGTGGGGTGTGGGTGGATGTGGATGTCTATGGATATTCTAGTGAATAAGACACACACCCAAGGGAGAAAAAACGGAATCCCACGGAACCATGGAATCTTCAGTTCCAAAGGCCTTAGAAACAGTACTATTGCAGGAAAATCTGTTCAAATACATCAACAATTAATAGAACAGCCTCAGTACATTCATCGTAATTTTGTCATTCAGAATCTCTTCTTTTCAAATCTAGAAGTTGCAAATTGATCTCTTTCAATATATATTTTAAGTTAAAATCAGTAATTTATAATACAAGAAAATAGGATATAATTCATGAATTTCAAAACGAAAATGAAGAATGTTTAAATATTAATATTTTAAAAAAATTCAGTCGTACAAAAAGGATTGACTGTAAGATCATTCCAACTTCGACATAATGTCACGTATTTACAAACAATAAAAAAAATTATTGAACCTGAATTCTTAAATAAAACGTTTATCATGTGTGTATAAATATCACGACAATACAGATTGAATATATACATTATATGTCGTGCCGAAGTTATAAGTTCGACATAAAATTTTGTCGAAGTTATTTCAAATCAACTAAATATTAAACAATTATCCAATAATTGATGATATCATAATAAAAATGTATATTTATAGTTAATTTTGCATTTTCATAACGGATGTATAATTTTTTTAATAATAAGTAAATTATTTAAAAATTATTCACAAAGACTAAAACTTAAACTTGATTGATATTTACATATTTATTGTTGAATCCACCCCACATTAAGTTCTTTATTTGAGGAAAATTTCTGGAGCACTAAGGCTTATTTTTAAATCATAATCGAACTTTAATTTAATAGAAAAGCATTCATCAAAAATAAATGAAATGTTTTGAAGATCATGGCTTACGTCATGTCGAACAAAGACTTCATACATCGAAGTTTTTGAGTACTACAGGAATTTGTTTTAGCTGTATTTAATTTATCTTTCGTAGTATATAATACCTTTCGACTGTACAAGTAAAAGTTAAAGGAAAGACGGACCGTCTCGCACTCTCGTTTCGTTTTTTCTTTACTTATCTTCACTTTCAGCTTTGAACAAGCACTTATCTTATCTTCATCCCCTGTCTTAATATTTCCTATTAAAATAAACACTAAGATCCATAGTAACGTTTCGAAAGGTTCCAAAAAATAAATTTCAACAGTTGCTGACATTATATACATAAGTTTCCTGTAAATATAAGCCTTAGTGCTCCAGAAATCTTCATCAAATGCAGAACTTAATGTAATGTGGATTCAACAATAAATATGTAAATATCAATCAAGTGCAAGTTTTAGTCTTTCTGAATAATTTTTATATAATTTATTTATTTTAAAAAAAATTATAAGTCCGTTATGAAAATGCAAAATTAACTATAGATATACATTTTTATTATGATATCATCAATTCTTGGATAATTATTTAATATTTAGTTGATCTGAAATAACTTTGGCACGACACATGCATGTATCAATAACTACAAACAAATAGAATAAAGAAAAACAAAAAAAAGATACCAGCAGGGAAATCTGAGAGTGCTACAGATGGAACCCTTTGATAGCTTTAGAAGCTCATGTCCTCAAAATCGCCACACTTTGGACGATTAATCGTGAGATCTAATCGCNCTAAAAGTACACTCTCAATAAATTGCTTTACAATATTCCCTCTTATAGAGACTTTAAAGTCTTAAGTGAGAATTAACGATATCAAATGTTGGAGAAAAACTTGGAATCAAAGAAGAAAAGTCTGAAGTGAAAGTTATCAAAACAGCAATTAATAAATATTATGGGTGTTAAGTTTCATTGAAATCGAATCCAATCATTTTCTTTTTCATCAATATTTATAGATTTATCATTTGAAGATCGATATAATTTTCATTTACAATATAGTCATAATTAAAACTTTGCTTAGTAATCATAACAACAGTTGTGGGTGTGGATGTGGGCGGGTGTTACTGAAGAGAAGATCCCAGGCAGGTATAAAAATGGTGTAATGGCATTAAAATGCCTTAAAATTGACATAATCTTAATGATGCGAAACTGTCACAAAAAATGCCCAAAAATGCTTCACATGGGAAACATTAAAATGGCTACTCTTTGACTAAGTGAAAATGATTTTAAAAATGATAAAAGCATGCATGCGTACAACACAATCCATTTTTTGGCATTATTTGTGACTGTTTCGCATCGTTATAATTATGTCACCTTGAATAATTTGAGTGCCATTCTATTAGATTGGAGCATAAGTCCTGCGCGTTTTTTTTTGTTTTTTAGGCAAATTTGACGCTTTATATCTCGTGATTGGAAAGAATTAGAGATCTGAATTTTTTAGCGTAGATAGTACTAAAGATCTGTCTACGTTAAAAATTTCAGATCTCTAACTCTTTTCAAACACGAGATATACAGCCTCAAATTTCTCTAAAAAACAAAAAAACACGTGCAGGGCTTATGTTCCAATCAAATATTATCACTAACCTTGCTCACACATTTTCTTTTGTCTTGTTTTATTTCATCTGATATTCTTTCTGCAGTCTAGTTCGGTATATATTCTCTGAATATCTTTGCTTTTATCAGAAATATTTTATCTACATAATTATACTCGAATTGAGAGTGTACTTTTAGAAAACTTTGCTAAAAAAATTTGAATTTTTCCTAGCGCTAAAACGAGCCAATGTTATCTAGTGTCGCGTACTATTTTCATATAACACATTTCGTTTGTAGAGGTATTTCACCCATCCGATAGAGTTATTTCTGTTGTTTTGCATGGCTCATAAATATCGGATGAAATTGAGTGCACAACGAAAGACTTCTCTTTCATTGTTTTCATGCCTGTCAAATTTCTAATTCTATAATAACCTTATCAAAAAACTGTTTCAATTGATAACCGGAATCCTTTTTTTTATAAGATAAGTCTCTTTCAACGAAATGAACTGCTTTAAAATATGTGCATAGTTCTTTGACGAAAAAAAAATGTTTTAAATTGTGCAATCAGTTTATTCAAATGTTTATAAGCCGTTTTGAAGAATACATATAACTTTAATGGACGAGTCAGAATACTATTCTATGCGGCTTTAAATGAAGTATTTTGGTGAAAACAGAAATGCAGCACGATCTAGTCTACCAAGAAATGTTGAACATACAAAAAGAGCTATTGTTTCATGTCGTTTATCAAGTTGTTGGCGTCTCGGGTCTCTCAAACGCTGCTGCACAACGAGAACTAAAATGCTTATCTTTTACTTTGGATGTAATCATTGATAACTGGGTTAAACACCTGCAAGAACCTTATTTGAGAATAGAGGTATGGGGTGATTGTTATTTTCAAAATAACTATTTTTTACAATTTTACGAAATGTGAATGTAATCTAATGTATTTATGCCAATAGAAAGAGCACAAGATTCTGAGTCGTAACAGATAGTTACATAGGACTCATATGTCAAGATTTCGAGAAATGCTAGAAAGAGTTATTTGTAAAATAACAATAACTTCACACTCTTATTTGAGAACTAAGAAGCCATAATGCGCTAGAACATGAATATGCGACTGTGCTAGATAGATAAGACGAAAATTCTAGGAAATACTTTAAGTCATAAAGAATAGTATATCCTGGTAAAAACAAACGACACAGCTACTTTTTTCATTTTGGTTGCAACCACATTGTGTGCTAAGTCTTATATTTATATTATGAGTAATACATGAAGATCTTCAGTTTTTATTAAACTATCAGTAATTGACTGTAGTAGACTATGGAAAGAAGAAAAATGTCTCATGAAATATTTAAGGGTGTTGGTGTTGGTGTGGGTGTGGGTGTGGGTGTGGGCGTGTGAGTCGGTGTGAGTATTGTGGTTATCCCCCCCCCCCCCCCCCCCCCCCCCCCCCCCCCCCCCCCCCCCCCCCCCNNNTTTTTGGCATTATTTGTGACTGTTTCGCATCGCTATAATTATACTCGAATTGAGAGTGTACTTTTAGAAAACTTAGCTAAAAAGATTTGAATTTTCCCTAGAGCTAAAACTAGCCATTGTTATCTAGTGTCACATACTATTTTCATATATCCCATTTCGTTTGTAGAGATATTTCACCCATCAGATAGAGTTATTTCTGTTGTTTTGCATGGCTCATAGACATCGGATGAAATTGAGTGCACAACGAAAGACTTCTCTTTCATTGTTTTCATGCCTGTCAATTTTCTAATTCTATAATAACCTTGTCAAAAGACTGTTTCAATTGATAAGCTTAATTTTTTTTTTGTAAGGTAAGTCTCTCTCAACGAAATGAACTACTTTAAAATATGTGCACCGTTCTTTGACGAAAAAAAAAAGATATTTGTAATTGTGCAATCGATTTCATCAAATGTTTATAAGCCGTTTTGAAGGATAAATATAACTATAATGGACGAGTCAGAATATTATTCTATGCGGCTTTAAATGAAGAATTTTGGGTGAAAAAAGAAATACAGCACAACCTAGTCTTCTAAGAAATGTTGAAAATACAAAAAGAGCTATTGTTTCATGTCGTTTATCAAGTTATTGGCGTCTTGCGTCTCTCAAGCACTCCTTTACAACAAGAACTAAAATGCTTATCTTTTACCTTGAA